TCTCTCTGTCACCCAGGCTGGGGTGCATGCAGTGTCACCGTCTCAGCTCATGCAACCTCTGCCTCCCAGGTTGAAGCGATTCTCCTGCCTCCGCCTCCCCAGTGGCTGGGATTACAGGAATGTGCCACCATGCCTGGCTAGTTTTTTTATTTTTAGTAGAGATGGGTTTCACCATGTTGGCCAGGCTGTTGTCAAACTCCTGACCTCAGGTAATCCACCCGCCTCTGCCTCCCAAAGTGCTGGGATTATAGGTGTGAGCCACCATACCCGGCCATGATTTTGTTATTTTCTATGGCTGCATAGTGTTCCATGGTGTATATATAACATGTTTTCTTTATCTAATCTACTGTTGATGGGCACCTAGGTTGATTCCATGTTTTTGCTGTTGTGAATAGCACTAGCTGTAATTTTATATCCTTTAACAAATCTCTCCCTATCCTCTCTTCCCCCTACCCTTCCCAGCCTCTGACATCCACTGTGCCACTTTTTGCTTTTACAAAATCAACTTACTTTTTTAGCTTCTGCATATGAATGAGAACATGTGCTGTTTAACTTTCTGTTTCTAGCATATTTCACCTAACGTAATGTCCTCCAGTTCCATCCATGTTGCCACAAATGACATTCTTTCTTATGGCTGAAATGGATTTCATTCTTTTTATGGGGATGTTGGTTTGTTGTGTGTTTTTTACTTCATTTTGTTTTGCTTTTAGAGAGCCAATGGTGTGTTTTCCAACATGAGATTTCAAGGAGGAGGAACATAGTGAACGCATGCTTTAGCTAAAATGTTGGCATGGGGTAAGAGTAGGATATTATGTCCAGTTTGATTTGGTGTTTCCCTGGGTTTTGTTTCTCTTTTAGGCAAAAGTGTGTACTTTTTGTGCCATTGCAGAATTAATTCAATGTCTCCATTGAAATGGTGGTCGCGTGGGTAGGTTCAGTTTGAAAAAATTATCAAGCTGCACATTTAAGAGTTGTGTACTAGGCTGGGTGCGGTGGCTCATGCCTGTAATCCCAGCACTTTGGGAGGCCAAGGCGGGTGGATCACGAGGTCAAGATATCGAGACCATCCTGGTCAACATGGTGAAACCCCGTCTCCACTAAAAATACAAAAAATTAGCTGGGCATGGTGGCGCGTGCCTGTAGTCCCAGCTACTCAGGAGGCTGAGGCAAGAGAATTGCCTGAACCCAGGAGGCGGAGGTTGAGGTGAGCTGAGATCGTGCCATTGCACTCCAGCCTGGGTAACAAGAGCGAAACTCTGTCTCAAAAAAAATAAAATAAAATAAAAGAGTTGTGTACTTTCCTTGACATAGGTTATTATCTTTTATTATTATTATTATACTTTAAGGTCTGGGGTACACGTGCAGGTCGTGCAGGATTGTTACATAGGTTTACAGTGTAAACCTATGTTTATGCTGCATCCATCCCCCCGTAATCTATATTAGGTATTCCTCCTAATATTAGCCCTCCCCAATCCCCCCACCCACTGCTATTCCTCCCCTAGCCCCTCCACCCACCAACAGGCCCCAGTATGTGATGTTCCCCTCCCTGTGTCCATGTGTTCTTACTGTTCAACACCCACTTACGAGTGAGAACATGTGGTGTTTGATTTTCTGTTCTTGTGCCAGTTTGCCGAGAATGATGGTTTCCAGCTTCATCCATGTCCCTGCAAAGGACATGAATTCATCCTTTTTATGGCTGCATAGTATTCCATGGTGTATATGTGCCACATTTTCTTTATCTAAATAGTTTTTTAAAGAACACGAAAAAATTGAGTGAGTTCCACATGTGCTAACGTGGAAAGCTGACCCAGGCGTATAATTTAGTTCCACATGTGCTAACATGGAAAGCTGACCCAGGCGTATAATTTAGTTCCACATGTGCTAACATGGAAAGCTGACCCAGGCGTATAATTTAGTTCCACATGTGCTAACATGGAAAGCTGACCCAGGCGTATGATTTGGTGAACAAGGCAAGTAGCAGGACAATTTTGTAGAACGAGCCTAACTATGTAACTAACACTGTGAACGTGTGTAAGTCAATGAAGAAATAGGAGCTGAAGGAAAGTTGCTCAGTCTTGTGTCTGGGTTACCTCGAAGCAAAGGAAAGAATTGGAGGGATGAGAGTGGGCCAATTTTGCTAAAAAACCTTTCTGTATTGCTTAAAAATCACAGTAGTAGGAAGGGAATCAAAACATGCATCAGGCCAAGCATGGTAGGGATCACTCCTGTAATCCCAACACCTTGGGAGGCCCAGGCAGGTGGATCATTTTGAGCTCAGGAGTTTAAGACCAGCCTAGGCAACATGGCAAAAGCCCGTTTCTAAAAAAAAAAAAAACAAAAATTAGCCAGGCATGGTGGCACACACCTGTAGTCCCAGCTACTGGGGAGGCTGAGGCTAGAGAATTGCTTGAGTCTGGGAAGCAGAGATTGCAGTGAGTCAAGGTTGTGTCCTTGCACCCTAGCCTGAGCAACTAACTTCATGAGACCCTGTCTTAAAAAAAAATCCACACAAAAACTTACACATAAATATGTCTAACAGCAACCTTCAAACAGCCAAAAGCCTAGCACAACTCAAATGTCCCTCCACAGATGAATAAATAAACAAAATGAGGTATATCTGTACAACGGACTATTATTCAGCCACAAAAAGGAATGAAGCACTAATGTGTGCTACAGTGTGGATTCTGTCTTCTTCCTCCTTGAAACTTCATTGCTTTACAGGGTCTGGTCAGCTAAGAAGGTTGTATCTTAGGCGGGGGATTAGAATGGGAGTAGCTGTGATGATTTGCTGAAAGATGCCTGACACTTGGCTCTCTAAAAACCAAAACAAAATGAAACAACAGACAACAAACCAACATCTCCCAATGCTGTTCTTGAAAACATCATGCTCAGCGAAAGAAGCCAGACACAAAAATCACATAATATGATTCTATTTTTGTGAAATATCCAGAACAGGGTTAGCTACAGAGACAGAAAGTCAGCTAGTGGTTGCCTAATGCTAGAATGTATGGAGAGATTGGGAGTGGTAGCTAAAGGGTACTGGGATTCTTTTGGGCAGGGGGGTTTAAAAAATATTCTAAAATGGGCCAGGTATGGTGGCTCACACCTGTAATCCCACACTTTGAGAGGCCAGATGAGGATGATCCCTTGAGGCCAGAAGTTCGAGACCAGCCTGGGCAACATAGCAAGACTCTGTCTCTACCATAAATTTTTTTAAAGAAAAAAGCTAAGCAGGCGTGGTGGTGCACACTTGTAGTCTCAGCTACCCAGGAGGCTGAGGCGGGAGGATCACATGAGCCCAGGAGTTTGAAGCTGCAGTGAGTTGTGATCTCTCCACTGCACTCCGGCCTCGGTGGCAGATCAAGATCTTGTCTCCAAAAAAAGGAAAAAAGAAAATGTTCCAGAATGAACTGTGGCAATGGTGGTATCACTGTGAATATACTAAAACTCACTGAATCGGACACTTTCAGTGAGTGAATTGTATAATACGTAAATTATATCATTTAAGCTGTTGCTATGGAATCGAGTTTGTTCTGCCTCCATGGAGCAAGCCAATCACTGTAGTGACAGATTTTGCAGAAGAGAAAGAGTTTATTCACAAGGCAATTAATCGAAGTGATGGGGAAACAGGTCCCAAATCCTCCTACCCAAAAATAGGGTTTGAGGGTACTTATGGGATAGAACACAGGGTGGTCTAAAGTATGAAGAAAGATGACGGGCAGTAGAAAAGGTGAGTCATGAGGATTTCTGAGCAAGCATAGTTGAGCTACATGGCTCTGGATAGGACATATGTACAGAAAGTAGCATTTAGCACGATCTTAGGGTGGAGTTTATGGCCCTCTGATTTCAGCTACCCACATGGGTCCAGATGAAGGGCCCTCGATCTCCACTGGCTTAAACTAGACAAGAGCTGCCTCCCACCTAGTTCTTGAAAAAACTTTAAGCACGCATTACCACAGTGACCCACAGTTAGAAATGTTATTGAGAGTTTAGTTACGCGTTATTTGGCTATGTGACTTGCTAGTGGCATTTTAAGATCAACTGTAAGTAAGCAATTAAAACCAAGTAAGCAATTAAAGGCAAGGCAGGTTGAGTTTGGAGGGCTTAGTCAGGCTCGCCTTTGGTTTCACTGTTAGCATATGTAAAATAAAATGAAATTAAATGGCTGAAAAAATAGAGGAGTAAGAAGAGAAAAGAGGGCTCAACATGAGGCATCAGTTAAGGCAACTGGGCTGGAAACTTCTAGGGTTTGTTTGCTTGTTTTTATATTTAAGACAGGGTCTGGCTCTGTCACCCAGGCCGAAGTGCAAGGCAGAGTCATAGCTCACTGCAGCCTCAAACTCCTGGGCTCAAGCCAGCCTCCTACCTCAGCCTCCTGAGCAGCTAGGACTAAGGGTGCATGGTATTATTTTGTTTTTTGTTTGTTTGTTTGTTTTTTTAGAGACAGGGTCTCACTATGCCCAGGCTGGTCTCAAACACCTGACCTCAAGTGATCCTCCTGCCTTGGCCTCCCAAAGCACTGGGACTACAGGTGTGATCCACCACACCTCACCCCTTATAGGTTTGAATGCCAACTGTGCCAATTGCTGACCTTGGGCAGTCATTTCACCTCTATGAGCCTCAGTTTCCCCACCTGCAAAATGGGACAATACTGATCTCTCTAGACTCTTGAGGACTTGATGAGATGATAAGTAAATGAAGTCGATGTTGTCTACACAGTGGAAGGTGAGATGAATGAACTAGGCATAGTGATGATGTAATAACCAGATGAGCTGGATATGGGATGGGGGCTGGGAGAGGTTGCGGCTGGGCTGGCACAGACTTCTAGCTAATTTAGAGGCTCTGCCTAGGCCACCTTTGCCAAAGGGAGTTCACTCAGCCTTACCGTCACCCATTCCATTGGCGTTGGCTCCATTTTCACACCAAGGCTGTGCCAAGGGTGTGTCATGAGGGTTCTTGAGTGACAGAAAACTCACTGACAATAAAGGGACAGAGGATTGTGCCACCTCATTCACAGACAGGCCTCTCAGGAGAAACCCGGGGAGATTCCACACTGTCAGCCCCTTCTCCAACATCAGCACGTGGTTCTGACTCCTCCTCGGTGCCCAGCTCTGTATTGGCAACCAGGAGAGTAGTGAAATTGAACTTGGCCTTGAGGAACAGCTGCCTCCAGGGTCGGTAAGTGATTTGACAGATATTAGCTCTTCCATCTCTCTCTCTCTCTCTCTCTCTCTCTCTCTCTTTCAATCTCTCTCTCTCTCTCTCTCACAGACACACACACACACACACACAAACTCTCTTACATACACACGTTCCCTTTCCCTTCATGAATTAATGCTCTGGCCAGTTTGGGCAGAATGGAAGAAATTTCCATCCGTACATCCACTCTTTCTTTCATCTGTTCATTTGTGTCTTATTTGTTTACTCAGCAAATTCTCTCAACACCCACTCTGTGCTCCTTGCCACACTGTTGGCCGTGATGGAGACAGAGATAATGAAGTCAGGCTCTCAGTCCTGAAAACTGAGCTGCCAGTTCAGCAAGGAGAAGAAGAACCAATAACAATGCTGCGACTCAAGTCGGACCAAGCAGAGCTGTGAGAGTCCAGAGGAGGAAAAGTTCCAGGAGGTTAAGAGGGATCGTAGAACCTACCTGGGTTTGCCATTGCTGTCAAGCACCTAGAGCTCTCCCCAGGTTCTTTGTGGATGGGAAAATCGAGTCTCTAGAGAGAATGAGATGCCCAAGGTCACACAGCAGGGAAGGGACTGAGGCAGGATCTGGTTTTGGTTTGTCTGACTCCAGGGCTATGCTCCTTCCATTTCCTCCTTCACAATCTTTGGTTCCTCTTTCTTCACAGCACTTGCTGTGTGTGTGTGTGTGTGTGTGTGTGTAAAAAAGATATTTAATATTCATTTCTGTCACAGACTAGTGCTGCAAAAGGACAGAAGGGCAGGGAACATATCTGTCTTACTTAGTGGATTCTAAGTGCATAACACATAGATACCCAGAAAATATTTGCTGGCTGACTGGCTGGCTGGCAGGATGGGTGGGTGGATGGGTGGATAGATGAGTAAATAGGTGGATGGATAGATGGAATATAGAGATGATGGATGAAGGAATGGATAGAGGGAGGGTTAGATGAAGGGATGAATGGAAGATAGAATAGATGAGGGATGGAAGAAGAAAGAGATGACAGATGAATGGATGGGTGGATGGATGAATGAATGAGTGGATGGATGGATGGATGGATGGACATATTGGTTGATGGAAGAACGAATGGGTGGATGGAATTACTGATTAATAGATGGGTAGATGGATAGATGGATATATGTGTGAGTGGGTGGATGGATGAATGGACGAGCAAATAGGTAGGTGGAAAGATGATGGGTTGATGGATAAAGGAATGGATGAGTAGATACATGGGTTGATGGAAGAACAAATGGGTAGACGGGATGACTGATCAACAAATGGGTAGATGGACAGACAGATGGATAGATGTGTGAGTGGGTAGATGGATGGATGGATGTTTGGATAGATAGGTCAGTAGAAAGATAAATTGGTGGACAGGTTGATGGATAAATGGATGGATGTATAATTGGGCTGATGGGTGACTAGACAGATGTGTGGTTGGAACACAAAATGAGTGGATGGGATGACTGATTAATAGATATGTAGATAGACAGATGGATGAATAGATGGATGGGTGAGTGGGTGAGTTTGTGGACAGATGATGAATTAATGGACAGATGGTAGATGGATAGATGAATAAATTGATGGATGACTGGATAGATAGGTGGATGAAAAGATGGATGGATGTATGGGTGATGGGGAAGGCATAGCAGATATTATGCCACCCAAACTGTCAGAGAAGGATCTTGATAGGTGAAAGGAAGAAAGAAAGAAGGAAAGAAAGAAAGAAAGAAAGAGAAAGAGAAAGAAAGAAAGAAATAAAAGAAAGAAAGAAAGAAAGAAAGAAAGAAAGAAAGAAAGAAAGAAAGAAAGAAGAAAGAAAGAGCATTTCCAGCTGGGCGTGGTGGCTCATGCCTGTGATCCCAGCATTTTGGGAGGCCGAGGCGGGCAGATCACGAGGTCAGGAGATCAAGACCATCCTGGTTAACATAGTGAAACCCCGTCTCTACTAAAAAGACAAAAAATTAGCCGGGCGTGCTGGTGGGTGCCTGTAGTCCCAGCTGCTCGGGAGGCTGAGGCAGGAGAATCACTTGAACTTGGGAGGCGGAGGCTGCAGTGAGCCGAGATCATGCCACTGCACTCCAACCTGGGCAACAGAGTAAGACTCCATCTCAAAAAAAAAAAAAAAAAATGAAACCATTCCCTACTGATAAGAAAGTGTAGGGAAAGGCAATGAGATGGTGAAATGCCAAGAGTGTGATAAAAATCTGTCTGTGCAGTCAGAGAACAGAACAGGACTCAGAGATGAGAATGGAGAACATGGACAGACACTCAGCCTCAAGGAAGAGCAAGGGAGGTGGATTGACCCCTTTGTATTAGATAATATCAACTGAGATAATATCAACATTGTATTCCCTGCTTTGATGGCATTATCCCTTTAAATCCACCTCCAAGGCATCTCCTTGAGATGGCTTCCCCAGCCTGTCATCTCCTGGGTAGAAAAGGGAAACACACGGGCCACTTGCCTCTGCTCGTCTTTCCAGGACTTTCAGAGGGAAGCTCAGTCCATTGCAAGCTGGTGATACAGGAAGTTTTTGGAGGTGGGGGTCATTGTGGGTGGGCCCAGCAGTCTCAAGACACCATGAAATTGTCATTCTAGGGATGATATATTACCACTTCATGGACTACCATCCTTTGCCCAGATCTGTCCATGGACCAGATCCCCACCACTGGGGTGCTATTTGGTCCCAAAAATCCAGATAAGCCAGTTTGTCCCCCCCAGCCCCTCTGCCTCTTTTTAATGACCTTTAACCTATTTTTTTCTGACCCCCAGGATCAGACAAGGGTACGGGGAGCTGGAGTTCACAGTCAAAGGAGAAATGAGCAATCTGCGACCTTTGGAGGAGGTCAGCTGGGTGCAGGTTGAGGGGAGGGCGATCATATGGGGAGGAGGAAGGTGAGGACCTTAATGTCTTGGGAAGAGGGAGTGAAAACATCGTGACCAGAACTCAGAGCTAGGAGGTACTTCGTAATCAACAAAATAGCCAAAAAGGACTCAGAGATGGAACCCAAGTTAGGTTGGGGGGTGGGGGCAGTCAGACTCAGCTACATCTGTCTCCAAAGATCACGTTCTTCTCAACACATTAAATGTTCTGAGAAGTCGTGCAATGAACAATTTTACTTTGAGGTTTTAAAAGATGACTTTCTTATCACGGGGGTACTCAGTACCCTGCTTCTGTTCTGAAAAGAAATGTTGACTCCCCAAAATTCTTCTTCCTCAAATGGGAAAGCATGGGATCTCAATATTAGCTTCAGAAACTCTGAGACCTCTGCAAGTGGGGAGGTAATGGAGGAATGCTCCGAACACTCTTGGGGTGGATGAGGAGACTTGTAAAGCCACAAAATATGACAACTAGAAGGGATCTTCAAAATCACACACACTCTCATTGTCTATATTTGGAAAGTGAGGCTCAGATGATCAGATGGGTGCAGTGACTTGCCTCAAGTTCACACCAAGCTAGAACAAAGCTGGACCCCAGGTTGGGTTGCCAGATTTGGGAAATTAAAATAAAGGACACCCAATTCACATCAACAACAAATAATTGTATAGTGTAAGTATATCCCATGCAATATTTGGGATATACTTATACTAAAAAATTGCTTTTTTTTTTTTTTTTGAAATGTAAACGTACCTGAGCATCTTGTATTGTACCTGACAACCCTTAGCTCAAGCCTCTCTTATTTTGTTTGTTTGTTTTTGTGACGGGGTCTCGCTTGTTGCCCAGGCAAGAGTGCAATGGCAAGATCATGGCTCACTGCAACCTCAACCTCCCAGACTCAAGCGATTCTCCAACCTCAGCCTCCAAAGTAGCTGGTACCACAGGTGCACACCAGCACACCCTGCTAATTTTTCTTTTTTTTTTCTTTCTTTTCTTTTTTTTTTTTTTTGAGACAGAGCCTCACTCTGTTGCCCAGGCTGGAGTGCAATGGTGCGATCTCAGCTCACCACAACCTCTGCCTCCTGGGTTCAAATGATTTTCCTACCTCAGCCTCCCAAGTAGCTGGGACTACAGGTGCATGCCACCACACTTAGCCAGTTGTTTGTATTTTTAGTAAAGATGGGGTTTCACCATGTTAGCCAAGATAGTCTCTATTTCCTGACTTTTTGATCCACCCACCATAGCCTCCCAATGTGCTAGGATTACAGGCGTGAACCACTGCACTAGGTCCAGATAATTTTGTCATTTTCTGTAGAGACAGAGTCTCACTATGTTGCCCAGGCTGGTCTCAAACTCCTGGGCTAAAGTGATCCTCCCACCTCAACCTCCCAAAGTGATGGGACCACAGGCATGAGCCATCACACCCAGCCTCCACATCTCTTTTCACTACATCTGCTTCTCCTTGAACCTCCCATGCTGATTTTTGTCATCTCTTGGCCCAGGAGAAATACGATATGTCAGGTGCCCGCCTGGCCCTCACATTGTGTGTCACCAAAGCCCGGGAAGGTTCTGAAGAAGACCTGGATGCCCTGGAACACATGTTCCAGCAGCTGAGATTCGAAAGCACCATGAAGAGAGACCCCACTGCCCAGGTATCAGGGTGCCTGCTCCAAGCCAGGCGGGGGGAAAGATACTAGGTTGGATGTGTGGGCTCTAGGGACTCAACTGAGTCTGGTTCTTCCTCTCACTCCAGCAATTCCAGGAAGAGCTGGAAAAATTCCAGCAGGCCATCGATTCCTGGGAAGAACCCGTCAGTTGCGCCTTTGTGGTACTCATGGCTCACGGGAAGGAAGGCCTCCTTGAGGGAGAAGATGGGGAGATGGTCAAGCTGGAGAACCTCTTTGAGGCCCTGAACAACAAGAACTGCCAGGCCCTGCGAGCCAAGCCCAAGGTGTACATCATACAGGCCTGTCGAGGAGGTGGGGACAGACCCAAGAGCAGTCTGTGCTTTGTTGTTTTTGTTTTGTTTTCTTGAGACAGAGTCTTGCTCTAGCACCCAGGCTAGAGTGCAGTGGTGCAATCTCAACTCATTGCAATCTCCATCTCCCAGGCCCCAGCCCTCCTCCTGCCTCAGCCTCCTGAGTAGCCGAGACTACAGGCACCTGCCACTATGTCCAGCTAATTTTTGTAGAGAGAGGGTCTCGTTATGTTGCCTAGGCTGGTCTCAGTCCTCCTGCCTCAGCCTCCCCCCAGCCCACCATGCCCAACCAAGTCTATGGTTTTATCCAACCCAGTCTCAGATCCAAAGCCCCAGCTGAAGCCAGGCACCATGGCTCATGCCTGTAATTCCAGTACTTTGGGAGGCCCAGGTGGGAAGATTTGTTTGAGGCCAGGAGTTCAAGACTAGCTTCTGGGCAACATAGTGAGAACCCAGCTCTACAAAAAAAAATTTTAAACTAGCCAGGAGCATGGTGGCATGGGCCTGCAGTCCTAGCTACTCAGGAGGCTGAGGCAAGAGGATCACTTGAGCCCAGGATTTAGAGGCTGCAGTGAGCTATAATTACACCACTGCACTCCAGCCTGGGCAACAGAGCAAGCCCTTGTCTCTAAAAAATGAAATTAAATTAAAAAGTCCCACTGCACCTACATACCACCAGATCATCCTAGGACCTTCTCCTTACCTTTTTTTTTTAAAGAGGCAACATCTCACTTTGTCACCAGGCTAGAGTGCAGTGGTACAATCATGGCTCACTGCAGCCTCAAACTCCCAGGTTTAAGCGATCCTCTTGCCTCAGCCTCCCAAAGTGCTGGGAGGACAGGTGTGAGTCACCATGCCTGGCCCCTTTCCTTACCTTTCTCTCTGACTTTGCCTTCTCCTCTGCTTGTTGTTTCAGAACAAAGGGACTCCGGTGAAATAGTAGGTGGGGATGAAATTGTGATGGTCACCAAAGACAGCCCCCAAACCATCCCAACTTACACAGACGCCCTGCACGTCTACTCTACGGTGGAGGGTATGAGCTCCCAGCTGACCCAGGGCTACCTCTGCTCTTCCCCATCACCCGCCACTCCCGACCCCTGAACCTCTCCTCCAGGACCCACCCCCTTCCAGGATCCCCTCTATCTACCCCGCTGAAGCTTCCCTGAACCCACCTCTCTGGAATTCCCAGGATACATCGCCTACCGACATGATCAGAAAGGCTCCTGCTTCATCCAGACCCTGGTTGATGTGTTCACAAAAAGAAAAGGACATATATTGGAGCTTCTGACAGAGGTGAGTTGACATGAGGTAGCTGGGCCACCGCTCAGGCCAAGTAGGGTGCAGGCAGAGGGGGCTGAGCCTCTTTCTAACCCGTCCCCATTTCCCCCAGCCTCAAATCCAACCTACATCTCAACACAGAAACTAAGATGCCCATCTTCCAACAACTTTCCCAAATGCAGGGACTCTCAAAACTCACAGTATGTGAAATTGTTTCAATGAAATACAGACAAATTTCAATGAAATACAGACAAACCTCCCCTTGGATATAAACAATGTTTGGGCAAACTGTTTTCTTTTTAATGTTTATATATGTTTTTATTGCAAATTAGGAAAACAAATGGCCAACCAAGGATTCCATACAAACTATGGTATAGGAGGAGACCATAAAGGTCTCTCATCTTAGGACAAGAATACTCACCTGCCCCGTTACCTAACCCTCCCCCCATAAGCCCATGACACCGACTCCTCCAAGCTGACCACACCCGTTGCTGCAGGTGACCCGGCAGATGGCAGAAGCAGAGCTGGAGCAGGGAGGAAAACCAAGGAAAGTGAACCCTGAAATCCAAAGCACCCTCCGGAAACGGCTGTATCTGCAGTAGAAGCAGAAAGACAGGGAGGAGCTTTCCTTGCATCATTCCTTCTGTACCACAGAAATTTAGAGGCAGCTTTTACCACTCCCAAGATCTTCTCTTCCCAAGGATAAATGATGCCCACTTTCCTTTTCATCACGTGCCTCATGCAGGTCCTCCTTTAATCTGTCCCTGTCCTTCTTAGAGCAAACCAGCCAAAACTTAGCACAAGGCATGGTGGTAACCTTAACATCATCTCCCTCAGGCTGGACTTTCTATCTTTATTAATGCAACCTCAGAGACCTAAGAGTGCATTCACTTATCCCACTTCCTGTTCCTGTGGTCTTCTTTGTCCCATGAAGCAGAAACAGGATAAAACTCAAGATTTTCCATGGACAAATCAATGCCCACTCATCCCCTCCTACCCCAATCCAACCTCCGCTGGCTCCTGCATCTCACTTGGAGATAAAACCTCCTCCTGAGGTCAATGCATTCCCAACTTCCAGTTCCCTCCTTTACTCTGGTTATTTAGTAAGGCAAGAACCATTCTTTCCAAAACCACTCCTCCTTGGCTAGCAAGTTGGTGTCTTAACTCCGTTCTCTTCCTAGCTCATGGCTTCTCTGGATAATGAAGTTGTCTCTTCCTTTCTGGATCTCTTCCTCCTCACACCCCTCCCCCTGAGACCGTGGACTCTGCCCTCTCTCCAAGAAAATCCATCCATTCATCTATTCTTGCAGTCAACTACTCTGAATGACAGCATGCTGGAGCTATGTCAAATTCCCTGTTCTTACCTTGCTATTTTGCAGACAACATAACATTTAACCTCTCATAACCAGAGAGGTTCAATAATTTGTCAAATGCAACACAGTAAGACAGAGACAAGGACTAGGCTTGACTTCCAGTTTAGCCTCCTTTCCACGACATGCTAAGTCTTGATCCATCTGAAATATTTTTTAATTAGTGAAGATGCCTAATAAAAATTTTCCCTACCTCCAAGGTAGGAGCCTTCTGGAAGTTTCTAGAAATTCTCAATAACCACCAGCTAAGGTTATGTCCAGGTAACCTTGTAGCACCAGGCTGGAAGTCAGACCGGCTTCACTATCTTCCCAGTCTGTATCTCCCCATCCCCAGCCCTGACCTTTCCTGCTCAGATAACCTGTGGGTGCATGCAGTGTCACTGAGAACACAGAGCTAAAGATGAACCTTTTCTTCCTGGTTGCTACTGCAAGCATTCCCTGGTATCCTCAACCTCAGATTCCAGGTTCCAATTTCTGCAGTTAATCTATGACCCCTCTCTTCTTGCATCCTTCATATGCCACCAGACACCATGCCCAGTCCAGCTTGATTTTGAAACAACTTTCGTGACTGTCTTCTCTTCCCTGACATGTTACCATCTAGGCTCAAGTCCTCATCTTCTCTTAACTGCATCTTTGCAACCAACTTCTTCCCTTGCCTCTCTGCTTTTCCATCTCACTTTCCATGTGTCCTCCGTATCATCTATAACAGTGATTTCCCTGGAACACTCAAGAAGACACAACATACCCCATTACTTAAAGACCAGGGGTCTGGGTGCAGTGGCTCATACCTGTAATCCCAACACTTTGGGAGTCTGAAGTGAGAGGATCACTTGAGGCGAGGAGTAAGAGACCAACCTGGGCAACACAGCAAGATCTTGTCTCTACAAAAAAAAAAATTAATTGCCCGGGCACGGTGGCTCAAGCCTGTAATCCCAGCACTTTGGGAGGCCGAGGTGGGTGGATCACGAGGTCGAGAGATCGAGACCAACCTGGTCAACATGGTGAAACCCCGTCTCTACTAAAAATACAAAAAATTAGCTGGGCATGGTGGCGCGTGCCTGTAATCCCAGCCACTCAGGAGGCTGAGGCAGGAGAATTGCCTGAACCCAGGAGGAGGAGGTTGCGGTGAGCTGAGATCATGCCATTGCACTCCAGCCTGGGTAGCAAGAGCAAAACTCTGTCTCAAAAAAAAAATTAATTAACCGGGTATGGTGGCAAGTGACTGTACTCGCAGCTACTCAGGAGGCTGAGGTTGGAGGATCACTTGAGCCCAGGAGTTTGAGGCTGCAGGGATCTATGATCATGCAGCTGCATCCCAGCTCTAAGCAGGAGAGTGAGATCTGGTCTCCAAAATCAATCAATCAATCAAAGACCAAAGTCAAACTGCACATCGGGATCTCTCACACATTTCCAATGTTACCATCTGCCAGCACTTGGCTAAACTCATCTCCCATCTCTTCCGCCATGAATTCACTCTTTCAGCAAGGCTAATGTCACCCTTACTCACCCTTGCCTCTAAGCGTTTGCTATCACCATTTTCCCTAAGCTGGGGGGCTCTCCCTCTCCCTTTATCCCTCTTCCACTACCTCCCACCCCTACTTTTTCCAGAAAGCCATTTCCACTCTTTTTTCTGGTTGATCCTGCCCTCTCGCCCAGGATGAGATGCTGGAAATGACCACTTCAGGAGGACAGGGAACAAGAGCTTGCTCTGCATAATAAGTGTTCAATAAACAGTTGTCAAACTTTGAAAGAAAGTGTTGAAATCTTTGTTCTGTGCTGAAACCATGAGGCTGATATGAAAGGAGTTATGGATTTAATTATTTTCCCCAGTGGCCACTTCTTCCCAGGTGTGTCTATCATGAATGGAGAATCAGGAGGCTCATCCTGTGTCTTCTGTCCTTTTTTTTTTTCTTTAAGAGATATGATCTTGCTTTGCCACCCAGTCTGGAGTGCAGTGGCGCCATCATAGCTCACTGCAGCCTTGACCTCCTGGGCTTAAGCAGTCCTCCCACCTCAGCCTCCCACGTATATAGAACTACAGGTGTGCCCCACCACACCTGGCTAATTTTCTTATTTTTTTTGTAGAGATGGGGTCTCACTATGTTGCCGAGGCTAGTCTCACACTCCTGGCCTCAAGCAATCCTCCTGCCTTGGCCTCCCAAAGTGCTGAGATAACAGGTGTGACCCTCCACACCGAGCTCCTGTCTCTCTCATAAAAACAGATGGTTTGGGTATTTGTAAAGCTGCAGGCAACACTTCCATGCTGAATGGCCATCTTTTACATAATTGTTCCATCTCCAGAATGTTTCCAAGGAAGTATGCAGACACAGAAATGTTGCTTTTCAAAACTATAAGGGACATTGGAAGTGGGCTAGTTACAGCATCAAAGACATTTAGCAAGTGTGCCACCTCTCTCTAGCCTGGTGCCCATGGCAGACATGACTAATCAACCACATATCTTTTTCCTAATGAACTCAAGTGAAGCCTCAAAGCCTTTCTCCTCTGAGCACTCAGGAAACTGATACCCGTCTATTGGCCTAAGCACATCATCCCTGATCTATCTGAACCTCCGCCTTTGAGAGTAAATTGTCTATTGTCCTCTTATGTGGTACACTCAGTGCTCTAGCCATGGCAGTAACTGGGGTTTTATCCGTGGAAATGGCAAAGCAAGCGGCCAGCGCAGGGGTGGGTTTCCAGGGCCAAGAGATGTGGGGTGGTGCATGCACTGAGTTCTATACACTCATTTATGTGCCGACCTGCGGTCCAATCACCCAATGATTCTGAAGTTTCCAAATATGAGATTCAGGAAACTGTGTCTCATTCACCAGATCCAGCCTGCAGTTTGTTCTTACCAACAAAGCTTTGCTGGCACACAGGCCAATTTTTTCACTTACATACTGTCTGCGGCTGCCTTCTCCCTACCATGGAAGAGGTGAGTACTTAGAACAGACAACATATGGCCCACAAAGCTGGCTATCTGCTATTTGGCCGCTTACAGGGAAGGTTTGACAACCTCTACCCTGATATCTTTCCAAAAATTCCTATTTTGAGATATCATCTCACACCCGTTAGGATGGCTATTATCAAAAAGATAGGAGGTAAGTGTTGGTGAGGGTGTGGAGAAAAGGGAACCTTTGTACAATGTTGGTGGGAAATAGAATGGTGCAGCCATTGTAGAAGACAGTATGGAGATTCTCAAAGAAATTAAAATCAGGCCGGGCACGGTGGCTCATGCCTGTGATCCCCTCACTTAGGAAGGCTAAGGCGGGCAGACCACTTGAGGTCAGGAGTTCAAGACCAGCCTGGCCAACATGTTGAAACCCCATCTCTAATAAAAACTCAGAATTTAGCTGGGCATGGTGGCAGGCGCCTGTGATCTCAGCTACTCAGGAGGCTGAGGCAGGAGAATTGCTTGAACCTGGGAAGTGGAGGTTGCAATGAGCCGAGATGATGTCACTGCACTCCAGCCTAGACAACAGAGTGAGACTCTGTCTCAAAAAATGAAAAAAGAAAAGAGAAACTAAAAACAGAACTACCAGATAATCAAGTAATCCCACCCCTAGGTATATATGCAAAATAAAGAAAATCAATATATCCAAGTGATATCTGCACTGCAGCACTATTCACAATCGCCAAGATACAGAATCAAGCTGAGTGTGTATCAACAGATGAATGGATAAAGAAAGTGTAGTACAGAGGCACAACGCAATACTATTCCGTCATAATAAAGAACAAAATCATGTCATTTGCGGCAACATGGATGAGCTTGGAAGACGTTAAGTAAAATAAGCCAGGCACAGAAAGACAAACATCACATGTTCTCACTCATTATGTGGAAGCTAAAAAAGTACATCTTGTGAAGACAGAGACTGGAATGGTCACTACCAGAGGCTGGGAAGAGAAGCGGGGAGAAGCTGATGATGAGAAATGGGTTATTGGGTACAAAAGTGCAGTTAGGTAGGATGAATAAATTCTTGTATTCAAAAGCAAAGTAGGAAAATTACCATTAACAATAATTATTTGTATATTTTTAAATAGCAAGAAGAGAAGAATTGCAGTGTTTTCAACACAAGAAAAAGATAAACATTTGAGATGATGGATTACCCTAGTTGGTCCTTATCACAAAAATCTGTACAACTATGATATTCATTTAATTAATTAATTAAAAAACAGAATTATCCAGGCATGGTGATTCATGCTTGTAATCTTGGCACTATGGGAAGCCAAGGCAGGAGAATCACTTGAGCTAAAGAGTTTTCAACCAGCCTGGGCAACATAATGAGACTCTGTCTCTACTAAAAATTTTTTTAAATGAGTTAGGTGCAATGGTGTGTTCCTATAGTCCTAGCTACTTGGAGGCTGAGGTGAGAGGATTGCTTGAACCCAGGAAGTTGAGACTGCAGTGAGCCAAGACTGCACCTCTGCACTCCAGCCTGGGTGACAGAGCAAGACCCTGTCTCAAAAAAAAAAAAAAAAGAAAAGAAAAGAAAAGAAAAGAAACAGGACTTACCATATGACCCAGCAATTAGACGTTTTGAATATATATTGGAAGGAAATGAAATTAGGATCTAATAAAGATATCTGGCTGGGCTTGGTGGCTCATGCCTGTAATCCCAGCACTTTGGGAGGCTGAGGTGGGCAGATTGCCTGAGCTGAGGAGTTCGAGACCAGCCTGGGAAACATGGTGAAACCCCATCTCTACTAAAATACAAATAAGAATTAGCTGGGTGTGATGGTGTACACCTGTAGTCCCAGCTACTCAGGAGGCTGAGGCAGGAGAATTGTAAGTACCCGGGAGGCGGAGGTTGCAGTGAGCCGAGATTGCACCACTGCACTCCAGCCTGGGCAACAGAGCAAGACTCCATCTCAAAACAAACAAATAAGCAAAAAAAGATATCTGCACGCCCATGGTCATTGAAGCATTATTCATAATAGCCAAACTGAAAAAATCAAAGTGTCCATCGACGGATGAATAAGGAAAATGTGTGTGCGTGTGTGTGTGTGCACATGCACATGTGCAAGTGTGTGTGTACACACAATGGAATGTTATTCAGCTTTAAAAGAGAGAGAGAGAGAGAGAGAGATATTCTGCCATTTGCCACAAAATGGATGAACCTGAAGTATACTATGCTTGGTGGAATAAGCCAGCATTGAAATCCATGGTTGTATTAGTCTGTTCTTGCACTGCTATCAAGAAATACTTGAGACTAGGCAATGTATAAAGAAAAAATGTTTAGGCCAGGCATGGTGGTGGCTCACACTTATAATCCTAGCACTTTGGGAGGCAGAGGTGGGAGGATCACTTGAGGTCAGGAGTTCAAAACCAGCCTGGCCAACATGGTGAAACCCCATCTCTACTAAAAATACAAAAAAAGTATCTGGGTGTGGTGGTGCTCACCTGTAATCCCAGCTATTTGGGAGGCTGAGACAGGAGAATCACTTCAACCTGAGAGGCGGAGGTTGCAGCCAGCCAAGATCGAGCCACTACACTCCAGCCTGGGTGAGAGCAAGACTCCATCTCTAAAAGAAAAAAAGGTTTAATTGGCTCAGGGTTCCACAGGCCATACAGAAAGCATGGCTGGGGAGGTCTCAGGAAACTTACAATCACAGCGGAAGATGAAGGGAAACCAGACACGCCTTACACAGCTGGAGCAAGAAGAAGGGAGGTGGGGAGGTGCTACACACTTTCAAACAACCAGATCTTGCAATAACACACTCCATCACAAGAACAGCAGCAAAGGAGAAACCTGCCCACATGACCCAACCACCTCCCACCAGAGTCCACCTCCTACACAGTGGATTGCAGTCTGACATGAGATGGGGCAGAGATAGACGCAAACCATATCAATGGCTTTGTTCTTCAAGACCTCTGACTAAAGGTTTTCCCCAATTATTAAGCAAGGGTGTGTAGGTTTAGCCTGGAAGTTTCATACTGAGCATCAGGGACTGACCCAGGCATTGTAGGACCTGTACAATCGTGCAGAAAGAGTCTCTTTTTAAGAAGAGATAAACAGCAATGCAGAATTAGTACAGCCAGATAAGCACATTGTCAGGGTCTCTCCTCCAACCTTGGAGAGACCCATTAAAGTTGGGATCCTGGCCGGGTGCGGTGGCTCATGCCTTTAATCCCAGCACTTTGGGAGGCCGAGGCGGGTGGATCACGAGGTCGAGAGATTGAGACCATACTGGCCAACATGGTGAAACCCCGTCTCCACTAAAAAAAAAAAAAAAAAAAAAATTAGCTGAGCGTGGTGGCATGCACCTGTAATCCCAGCTACTCGGGAGGCCGAGGCAGGAGAATTGCTTGAACCCGGGAGGCAGAAGTTGCAGTGAGCCGAGGTTGCACCACTGCACTCCAGCCTGGTGACGGAGTGAGACTCTGTCTCAAAAAAAAAAGTGGGGATCCTGGCCAGGTGCAGTGGCTCATGCCTGTAATCCCAGCACTTTGGGAGGCAAATGCGGGTGGATCACAAGGTCAGGAGTTCAAGACCAGCCTGGCCAAGTTGGTAAAACCCCGCCTCTACTAAAAATACAAAAATTAGCCAGCATGGTGGCAGGCACGTGTAATCCCAGTCACTTGGGAGGCTAAGGCAGAGAATTGTTTGAACCCAGGAGGCAGAGGTTTTAGTGAGCTGAGATCATGCCACTGCATTCCAGCCTGGGTGACAGAGCAAGACTCCATCTCAAAAAAAAAAGTCCACTTCCTCTACCTATGAGCAGTTTCTATTTAATGGCGT